GGCACATAACAACAATAACAACAACAACATATATATATACATACATACATATATATACATATATGTGTGTGTGTATATATATATATATAAATATACGCACAATTGTATATAGATTTTTATCACTCGGTTCCTGCTATCAAATCAGTGTTGAGTCACAGAAATCTTTCATTGAGTTTCTAAGATTTTTAAGTCTTTATGGGAGAGATTTGTCCAACTTTTTCCTTTGGATTCTAACCAATGGAGATATGTGTTTTTTTGGTTAGCAGTAAAACACACACATACACATCTCCAATAAATTTCATTGTTGTTCAGGCAATATCTAACTGCATGCGAGTCCATGCACAGTTTTACTAGATATTTCAATAGGAGAGATGAACATATTTTGCATAATCTCAGAAACAAAGAAAAATTCTTCAAGCTATTAAAAGATCAATTGCATTTAAAGCTACAAAATCAAGGAAAAGTGTGACAGGGACCTCTGTCAGGAAAATTAACTGGTAATGTGGACTGAGGACCACAACAAATGGGAACCTCACTCAGTATGGTGATGATCACTGTCAAGGCATGAAGCTTATCAAGATGCTCAAAGAAAAAGTAGGACAAGACTAAGATTGCAAGTTAAGGGCTAGTTCAAGCACTTCAAACACTTTTAAAACTAGATAATGTGAAAATGAATGGTTTGTGAATGTTGGTATAAAGACATCAGAGGAATTTGTTGAAACTAAACAAACACACAGTCTCTGAATCACTTAACACCCTTCTTCACAGAACATATCCTTGATGTTAAGCAATGCATGACTATGCATGGATACATATACTTGTTACAGAATCCTAATTTCTGTATGACTAATGAACATAAAATATAAACTGTAATTATGGTTATTAATGTGTAAGTAGCTTTTTATTATGGGTTAGGATGCTACTAGAAAAGTAGACAGTTTGATTCCACCAGCTTCTCCACAAGATAAAGAGGAGGAAATCTCCTCCTATGAAGATTTACACATTTAAGGTTTTTACAGATTTAGGAAACTGGAGGAAGGGTTGCCATAAGTCGGAATGAACGTTAGGACAACAGATTATGTGCATTATGAAAGTTCTTGTGTAGTACAAATGATATGTGCTTTACTACTAGCCAAACATTATGAAGAAGAATGTGGCATTGGAATTAGAAGAATCATCAACCATTCATGTTACGCAAATGACACAAACTTACTTGCTGAAAGACAGGAGTAATAGAGGCACTTGTTGTGGGAGAGGAATAAGTGACTTCAATATGTGACTCAACCTTCAATATTATCTACATGTATCTCAACATCAAGAAAACAAAAATTCTTCATTACTGGGTCAAGAACATGATAGATGGGGGAAAAAAGAATGAAATTGTCAATGATTTCATCTTAGTTGGATCCACAGTCAACACTTTGGGAACTAGTAATCAAGATATCAAGAGACATATAGCATTGGAAAAGTCTGCTGTCAGGGATCTTTCCAAAGTCCTGAAGAATCATGATGTCAGTTTAAACATTAAGGTGCACGTGACTCAAGCCATGGTTTTTCCAATCCCCTGTTATGCATTTCAGAAATGTACGATGAGTAAGGATGATGAAGAAGAATTGATGCCTTTGAGTTGTAGTTTTGGAGAGGAGTACTGACTATCCTTTCACAGATGTAATCAATCTGATTCCTGTGCATATCATCAGGTGGAATCCATGTGTATAGTCTGTGTTTATGTTTCTCATAAAAGGTAATTACAATGAATAAATCATCGATTATGCAGAATTCTATCATTCTAACCCCAGCCTCATTTCTGTCACCTAGACTATATTTTCTGACCACTGATCCTTCTTCCTGGTTCTCAACTTTTGCATTTCAGTCACCCTTTATTATATATGCACCTTGGTTACATGTTTGATCAATTTCTGACTACAGTCGTTGGAAGAAACCATCTATTTCCTCCTCAATGACCAACACGAAGAAGACAAAGATTCTTATCACTGGGCCAATTCACAGCACCATGATAGATGGAAAAGAGATTGAGGTTGTTAACAATTACAGCTTTCTTGGCTCCACAATCAACACTATTGGCACCAGCAGTCACGAAATCAAAAGACAAATTGCACTGGAAAAATCTACTGTCAGGGACCTCTCCAGAGTATTGAGAAGCAATGATGTCAGTCTGGAGACTAAGCTGCACCTAATCCAGGACATGGTCTTTATAATTACTTGCTATACATCATAGAGCTGGACAATGACTAAAGATGGCAGAAGAAGAATTGGTATCTTCAAGTTGCGGTGCTAGAGAAGAGTCTTAAACATACCATGGACCATCAAGAAAGCAAATAAGTCAGTCTTGGAGGCTAGGGTTTTGAAGCTCCATCTAGCATACTTTTGCATGTGGCCAGGAGACATCAATCCTTGGAGAAGGACATCATGCTCAGAAGGATGGAGGGACGTCACAGGAGAGGAAGATCCCAGATGAAATGGATTGATACAGTAACTGGGCAATGGGGGTTGGTGTGTTGGAATCAGTGAGACTGACTCAGTACAGGACAGGCTTGAGAGCTGCTGTATATAATGTTGCTATGGGTCATAGGCAGCTCAAGAGCACATAACAACAACAACAACGGACTGTTCCATGAACTGACAAAAGAACAGCTATGTTATAGAGAAATAGAAGCTAGAGTGTTCCTTAAATGCAAGGATGATGAAACTTAGTCTCACATATTTTGGACACATTGTTAGAAGCTATTGGAAAGAAACATCATACATAGAAAGGTGGTGGGTCAGTGAAGGAGAGGAAAATTCTCAGTGAGATAAACTGACACAGTGGCTGCAGCAATGAGTTCAACTACATCAGTGAAGATGAGGCTAATGCAGGTTAGGACGCAGTTCAGATGTATTGTTCATAGGGTAGCTATGAGTGGTAGTCAACTCAACAGCATATAGAGACTACAACTAATCAAAAGGTTGATGGTTCAGTTTCACCAGTAGTATTGCACAAAAACGGCTTGGTGAGAGAGAATTCATCTGAAGCAATGAACTTAGTTTTGTTTTTACATGGATTATAGAAAGTTTATCATTAGAAAACAAAGTAGGCTCTCAAAAATGTAGCTTTTGTATGTCTACAGGGAGTTCTAGTGGCCTAAGCCATAGGGAATTGTACTGCTGACTTAAAATTCATAACATTCTGGCATCTGAGTGCACCATTCACTCAATGTAAGAAAGATGGGCAAGCTCCTCCCATGTGACTTACCATTTCAGAAACCCACCAGAGGGTCAGATATGAGTCAGTTCTGATCTAACAGCATTGAGAGTTTATGTGTATGTAGTAAACGTATAACTATAAATGGCTATTAAATTAATAAATCATAAAAATTAATAGATAATAAAGAAATAATACTGCTCACAAACTTTAAAAACTTTGGATTGTATTTTTCTCATTACTTTAGGTGTATTCAGTATTGCTAGCTAGTATATATCAAGATGATTTTTTATAAAATACCATTCTTGAACTAACAATATCTTATGATTTTGTCTGAAATTTATGCTTGTAAAATATGTTGAAATATATTATTTTGGATGCCAATTTGAATGTATGATTGTTCTCCTAGGTGGCTTTTACAGTGCTTTTTGATTTGGAAGCCCTTCTGAAGATCTGGTGTTTGGGATTTACTGGCTATATCAGCTCTTCACTTCACAAATTTGAACTCCTGCTTGTAATTGGAACTACTCTTCATGTTTATCCAGACCTTTATCATTCTCAGTTCACATACTTTCAGGTAATACAAATGATGCCTATTGGTCTTTAAAGTATTTTTTGTTTGTTCGTTTGTTTTCAGGATAAACATTAGTCACAATAGTGTGCAGGACCAGGGGGCTCTGGAGACATAGCCCATAAGAGATTGTGATGCTAATTCAAAGTCCATGCCTCTCTGGTGTTTCAAATCCACCAGTGGCTCTGTAGGAGAAGGGCAGGCAGTCTTTTTTTGAATAATTTAGTCTTTGAAATTCAATGTGGTGTAAGTTACAAGTCAGTTCTGACTTGATAGCAATGTTGTTGTTATTGTTACATGCTGTCAGTCGCAGGCGACTCATAGCGACCCTATGAAGGAGAGTCCTTGACTTTTGGATGCCTTTCATCCTCTCTCCAGGTTCATAGGGTTTCCGGAGGCAAGCTATTATGGAAGTGGATGCCGCTCCTCCTTCCAAGATTGACCACAATGAGAGAAGGAAAAAAAGACAGAAAATCGAGTCATTGTGTATGATAATCATAGAGGAATCCATAGGGGATGCAAATGATTAATGTACTTTAGTTCTGATGCAAAGGTGGGAGGTTTGAGTTTACCCAGATATCTTGTAAGAACAGTCTAGTGATCTGGTCCCAAATGATCAGCCACACACTGTATGGAGGAGAATTCTATTCTTACACAGGTGGCATAGGAGACAACTTTGGAAGCCAGCTGGTATGGATAGAATATGACCACCGAGAGCCTAACATATTGAAACCACAGGAGGTTAACATGGTTCAGTTTACATCACCTCCAATATCTTCATGTGTAATTTCCTCCCATCAGGTATTTTTGGAATTGTTAGTTAAAGCAGAAGGTCAATGTAAAAAAGAGGAAGATCCTTATCAAGATGGAGTGACATCGCTGCTGCAATGATGGACTCAGGATAGCAAATATTATTGCAGGACTGGGTATTATTGCTTTCTGTTGAAAAGAATCATGTTTCTCAGGAGTTGGAATAGACTCAAAACATCTAACAACAATATCCTTAGCTTGAGTATCGTAAGTAAGATGGACCAGGAAGTATCATCTGCTTCCAAAAGGGTCAAGTATGGTCTTAGGAAGAACTGTCAAGGATATCCTTCTCCCTCAGAGCAGCTGTTGGATTCAGACTGTGCCTACAGGATTGCAGCAGAGATTCTTATTACTTAGTATGTATTGTTGTTATGTGCCTTGAGTTGCCTGCAACTCATAGCAACCTTATGTACAACAGCCCTAAACCCTTCTCTGTCCTGAACCAGTCTCACTGTCTCTGACACACCCACCCCCATTACTCCCGTCACTGAATCAATCCATGCAGGAGAGGGTCTTTCTCTCCTGCACTGTCCCTCCACCCTCCCAAGCATGGCGTTCCTCTCCAAGGACTGATCGCTCCTTGCAACATGTCCAAAGCATGTCAGATGAAGCTTCAGAATCCTTTATGCAAGGAACAGCCCAATTTAACCCTTTCAAAGATGAACCTGTTCGTTTTCTTAGCAGTCCATGGTATATTCAATACTCTTCTCCAACAATACAGCTCAAACGCATCAATTCACCTTCTGTCCTCCCAAGTCATTGTCCAGCTCTCTGACACAAAGCAAGTGATTGTAAAAGCCATGGCCTGTATCAGGCAGACCTTAGTCTCAAGAGTGACATAATTTTCAGTACTCTGGAGAGGTCCCTAACAGCAGTCTTTCCCATCACGATATGTGTTCTAATTTCCTGCTGCCAAGAGTGTTGACTGTCGAGCCAAGCAAACTAACCCTGTTAACAATCTCAGTCTCTTCACCTTCCATTCTGATGCTGCCAATTGACCCAGTGGTGAGAATCTTTGTCTTCTTGATATTGAGCCTCAATCCATATTGAAGCCTGCACTCCTTGACCTCCGGCAGCAAGCACTTCTGGTCCTCAATTTCATCAAGCAGGGTTGTGTCATCTGCATAACGCAGATTGTTGATGGATATTCCAAAAATTCTGATGCCACTTCTCCTCATAGAGCCCAGTCTCCTGGATAATAGGTTCTGCATATAGGTTGAAAAGGCATGGAGATAGGACACATCCCTGGCATACACCCTTCCCAATTTTGAACCATGCAGTGTTTCCTTGCTCTGTTCTGACAACTGCCTCCTGGTCCATGTGTAGGTTTCACATTAACATGATCAAGTGTTCTGGGATTCCCATTCTTCTCAGAATTAGCCACAGTTTGTTGTGATCCACACAGTCAAATGTGCATAATCACTGAAACACAGATAGACATTCCTCTGGTACCCTCTGCTTTCAGCTAAGATCCATCAAACATTAGCTACAATATACCACTATTCCTTCTAAGCCCAGCCTGGACTTCTGGAAGTCTTTGTTGATGTGCTATTCCAGTCATTTTCAGATAATCTTCAGTAGAATTTTGCTTGCATGTGATATCAGTGATATTGTTCTATAATTTCCACACTCTGTGGGATCACCTTTCTTTGGAATGGGAACAAATATAGACCTCTTCCAGTCAGTTGGCCAAGTGGTTGTCCTCCAGATTTCTTGGCACAAATTGGTGAGCACATCTAGGGCAACATCTGTTAGCTGAAATATGTCAATCGGTATGCCATCTATTCTTGGGGTCTTGTTTTTGCCAATTACTTCAAAACATCTTGAACTTCTTCCTTCATCACCATAGGCTGTTGCTCATGTGTTGTTTAATGAAATTCTTCTGTGTCTGCCAATTCTTTTCGGTACACACTGTATATTCTTTCCATTTTCTTTTAATAGTACCTGGATCATTTAATATTCTGGCCAAAGCATCCTTCAGTATAGCAACTTGAGGTTTTAATTTCTTCTTCACTTCCTTGAGTTTAAGAAATGCTGAGCTAGTTCAGCCCTTTTGATTTTCTGACTTCAGCTCCTTGTACATTTCATTGTAATACTTTGTTCCTGTGCTGCCTTTTGGAATCTTCTGTTCATCTCTTTAATATCTTGAATTGTTCACTCTGCTTTGGCTTCTCAGTGCTCTAGTGCAATATTTAGAGTCTCTTCTGACATTCATTTTGGTCTTTTTTTCACTCCTCTGTCTTTGTGTGACCTTTTTCACTCTTCCTGAATGATACTCTTGATATCCTCCCACAACTCATCTGATCTTTGCTTCTTGGTGTTCAAGGCCTTAAACCTGTTACTGGTATAACCATGGTATATGCTGAAATTAAGGTGGGATAGACTCAAGACTATATTTTGGTTCCCGTGGATTTGATTTAATTTTCCTTAGCTTCAGCTTGAACTTGCATATGAGTAGTTGATGGTCTGTTCCACAATCAGCACCTGGCCTAGTTCTCACAGCTGATATTGAACTTCTCCAGCGGTTCTTTCCACAGATATAATCAATCTGATTCTTATGCATCCCATCAGGTGAAATCCATGTGTATAAATCCATGTGTATAACCTGCGTTTATGTTTCTTATAAAACATATTTGCAATGAATAAGTAGCTGATTGTGCAAAATTTAATCATTCTATCTCCAGCTTCATTTCTGTCACCAAGTCCATGTTTTCCAACTACTGATCCTTCTTTTCTGTTCCCAACTTTTACATTCTAGTCACCCATTATTAGCAATGCATCTTGATTGCATGTTTGATCGATCTCTGACTGTAAAAGTGGGTAGAAGTCTTCTATTTCCTCTTCTTTGAATTGGTTGTTGGTGCATAAATCTGAAGGATAGTGGTATTCACTGGACTTCCTTATATGCGTATGGATATTATCCTATCACTCATGATACTGTATTTCAATATGGATCTAGAAATGATTTTTTTAACTATGAAAGAAACCTGTTTTTCCTCACCTTTTCATCTCAGTAGTTATAGATCATATGATCATCTGACTCAAAATGCCCATGCCAATCCATCTCATCTCCACAATACTTAGTATGTCAATATTTATGTGTTCTATTTCTTCCTTAACAATATCTAATTTTCCTACATTCATATGTATATGTATATGTATATGTATATTTTTGTTGTTATTGTTATGTGCCATCAAATCGACTCCTACTCATATCAACGCTATGTACAACATCTCTGAACCCTGCTCTATCCTGAGCCAATTCCATTATTCCTCACACACCTACCCTCCTTACCCCAGATACTGAGTCAATCCATCTTATCCAGGGTCTTTCTCTTTAGCACTGTTGCTCCACCCTTCCACGCATGATCTCATCTTCCAATGGCTTGTCTCTTCTTGAAACATGCCCAAAGTATGTCCGACAGAGCTTCAAAATTTTTGCTTCCAAAGAGCAGCCTGTTTTTACCCCCTGCAGGACGGACCTGACTGTTGTCTTAGCAATCCACAGTATATTCAATACTGTTCTCCCGCACTATGATACAAAAGCATTGATTCTTCTATCACCGTTAGTCATTGTCCGGGTCTCTAATGCATAACAAGGAATTGTGAAGACCACAGGCTGAATCATGGGCACGTTAGTTTCTAGACTGACGTCATTGCTTTGCTGAACTCTAGAGATGTCCCTGTCAGCAAATATTCTGAATACAATTTGTCTTTTAATTTCCTGGCTACTGGCAATATGAGTATTGATTGTGGAGGTAAGCAAACTGAAGCTATTAACAATCTCATTCTCTTCACCATCTATCATGATGCTGCTAATTGGCCCAGTGGTGAGAATCATTGTTTTCTTGATGCTGAGCTTCTCTCCTTATTAAAGGCTGCAGTCCTTGACCTTCTGCAACAAATGTTTCTAGTTCCCCTTCAATTTTGGCAAGCAAGGTTGCAACTTCTCCATAATACAGGTTGTTGATGAGTCTTCCTCCAATCTTGATGCTACATTCTTCTTCATAGAGCCCAGCCTCCTGGGTAATCTGTTTCACATATAGGTTGAAAAGGTATGGAGATAGAATATATCCCTGGCGTACACCTTTCTGATTTTGAACCATGTAGTGTTTCTTAGCTCAATTCTGATGACTCCCTCCTGGTCTAAATATAGATTTCACATAAGCACAATTTAGTATTCTGGGATTCTCATT